GCCAGTCCTCGCACTGCCACTCGCATGCGGTACTTGCTGATGGAATTACCTACACATCTAGGCCTACGCCCAATCCGGCCTAACGCCGTGCTGCCATGTCTGGGGAGCGGCCATCCTGTACTCGGCCCTACTTCTACTTCTGCTTCCTGGATTTCAACAAGGTTTACGGTCAGGTCAGTCCAGCCCTTTTGGAGAGTCTCATCCACCTGAAGAAATCTAACTCCACATCAACGTTTTCATTTAACTTATAAAATAAAACCTGTAATCTTTTTACCTGCAATTTTATTAATTAGGCTTTCATTCTCTAAATTTAATTTAACTTTAACTTTCTATCAAATTTTTAAATTCCATTCTTTTATTCTGTTTCACACCCCTTGATTGAGGGTAAAATCTTTTTTTCCTCCCTTGACGGTTATTTTACCGCTTGGAATATATTTTGGAATATATTTTATAGTCTTTGCGAGGCGACCACATTTGTTGATAGTGTAAATGTTTTCATGTTTGTAAATGTAAATAAAAATATTTATTTTAATGTAGGCCTAGGACCAAAGGTCTTAAATTAATTGTTTTTAAATGATTTTTATAAGGTGGCCACCTAACCTAACTTAAGTTAATTTTGTTTTGAAGGTACATTTAAATGTTTTCGCTTTATGGCAATTTTAGGCCTAACTTGAATTTCTAATTTTTAAATCAAATTGTTTTTTTAGTTAAAGAAAATTTTATACTTTTTAAAAGCTTTAATTATTGTCTTGGCTAGGGCAATGACCATTCATTATTGTTATTTATCGTTGTTTATATATATATATATATATTTATTGAAATGAATAAACTTATATTTGTGTCCAGCCAGCTCTTGTGTTGTCATTGTTGGTCCTCCACCTCAGCAATATTGTGCCGGAATCCCACCATTGATTTTGCGCTTCCAAGGGCTTCACCCTTTTGATCAATGGAGTTGGGAATTCGGTCACAAATGGTAGCAGAGCGTGGTTGGTCCAATTTACTGTGCAGGAGGTTGATTAAAGTAGTAAAAAAAAAAAAAAAAAAAAATTTTTGCACAGTAAATAAAGTTTGTAATTTTTCAAATGAAATTTGTTGAGGTTAGGAGGACATGGCATTTGTGTTTAATCATAGTGGTTCATTTGTTCTTTGCCTGTTAGTTATTTATTTGTTTTTGTGGTCGTCTTATGATTCTGATTTTTGGCCTGTTGGTGGCAGGCTGATGTTGATTGTTGGCCCCGTGGTTGTGTTCTCATCTGTGAATTAGAGGTCTTAGGTAGGTAATTGTTATGTGTAGTTTTGTTTTATTTGTGTTCATTGTCCTTTCAAATGTGTAGTCAACATGACTGGTCCACACCGAACTTCGAAATTTTCCCCTCAGACCCACATCTCCCAACTGAAGGCTTTTCGGGGACAACCAGATCTTAGGTTAGGTTAGGTTCCTGCCCTGTAGGCCTGATCACCCTGCAGTGTAGGAATGTGAACTGCTCTGTTGTGTCGAATTTGTTTCTTTGCCATTGCTGGGCCCAGCAAAATCATCCCCTGGAAGTGAGTTTTCCTTCCAGAAGACAGAGTCGTTGACCTGGTTTTTCTGTTGTTGCCCCGGGAGGTTAGGTTTTCGTGGGGGAGGTTGTGCCGTGTGTATGTGCTCAATGCTCAACGGCACTGTTAATTTGTTGCGTGGTTGGTACTACTGGCTGCGTTCTGCTGGACGTTTCGTTCGTTTGACGTTGTGGCTCCCGTTTTCTCCGATTTTGGAAAGTTTTTTCTCACATTACTCTGGAAAGTTGTTTACTCTGGAAAGAAGTAACTAACCTCGGAAAGTACTTCAAGAGTTTTCTGCGCATGCGCAAGCTGAGGTGCCTGTGGGTACAGAACGTCAAGTTATGTCTTAAAATGTAAACAAATGACAAAAATGACGGAATGTTTTCCTAAAAGGCCCATGTTAAATTTTCAAAAGTTTGTACTCAAATTATGGCGAAAATGGATTTTTCCTGGCTATACCACTGGTCTAGAACTTATTTTCGACACAGAACTTAGTTATTCCGTAAATATAAACGTTTTTGTTAGGGCCGATTCCCAGATCGAGTTGACAATTATACAAACTTTACTCGTATTATATATAGGATTATAAAAAATATATGTGCATGTTTTTTTTGTTTTTTTAAGGAGAGGAGGGAAAATGCTTTTAGGCACACAGGTAGCCAGCCTTGTTTGTCACATTACTTCAAGTCAGGCCAACTCGTGACCTAAGCCCTCAGGGCTCTCACCGTTTCTGGCATTTAGATAATTTATGACATATGCCGCATCCCGGTCAAGGTCGAGCTTTTTGGCGTGGAGAATAGCCTTGGATGTAATGTGACACACAGGTCCAATTGTCCTCACTAATTGTCATAATCGGAATGACCGTGTCCACCGACAGCAGTCCTACTAACTGTTAAGCCTCCAGGCGGGGCCTTTCCCAACGCTGGCAGTGTAGAAGGGTATGTTCCACGTCATCTGAAATTGCCTGGGCAGTATTATGCAATCGGGTGACCTATCAGAAAATGGATGAGGTAAAAGGATTGACTTGCTGTATCAGTCGTCTGGTCCTGCGTTCCCATTTCTTCTGTTCCTAGCTCTCCTGCCACAGCTGGTAGGTGCGGGCGCGTTCCACTGTTTCTGCCTGGTCCTCCCAAAGGGGCTGATAAATTGCCTTCCTCTCCGCCGCTAAAAGTTTGACGAGGATGACTCCAGCAACGACCAGGACGGCGGGTTCGGACACTGTTCGGTAGACGGATGCAACTCTTAGTGCTGCCTGACGCTGCACTCGGGCGAGTTGCATCCTATATACCTCCTTATTGAGAGCGTCTGCCCACACCTCCACACCGTACAAGAGTACGGACTGGACAGAAGACATTAACAGCCTTCTACGGCTGGACCGAGGCCCTCCGATATTGGCCATCAACCGGCAAAGAGAGGAAACCACCCTAGCGGCCTTGTCCACCGTACGGAAAATCTGATCCCGCCAGCTAAGCTTGATGTCCACCATAATTCCAAGGTACTTGGCAGAACGAACGGTCTGGACTTCGACGGCCCCTACCCTCAACAGGACGATGGTGTCAATCCGTTTTTTTGTTAATATAACGATCTCAGTTTTGCTCAAAGCGAGCGAGAGACCGTAGTCTGCCATCCATGCGTTTATGGTACGCAACACTCGGTTCAACTTTAGCTGAGCCAGCTCAACGCTACGCGCAGCTAACAAAACTGCAACGTCGTCTGCGTACCCAACCAAAAAAGTTTACTCAGGCATTTCAGACCTCGGAAGGCTGTCATACGCGACAATCCCGAGACCTGGGGCGAGTATGGAAACCTGGGCAGCATCGGAAGTGACACTCATCGTCCGTGGGCCTTCTGTAGTGTCATACATGAGGAGGTGGAACTGGAGATAATCCTCTATGATACGCATGAGGTATGCCGGAACGTGGAAGGTGTTCTCCAGAGCATCCAGCATATCGCACCAGATCGCGGAATTAAATGCGTTTCGAACATCAAGTGTTACGATCAGAATAACCCTACGAGAGTAGTGGTTAAAATCCTCAGTTCTCATCACGGCTTGCTTCACCTCCTCAACAGCGTCAACCGTAGATCGCCCCATCCTGAATCCATACTGACGAGGGGACAGATACCCCGCAGTGACCACGGTTAAATTCAGCCGGGAACGGATCATCTTCTTGAAGACTTTGCCAGCCATATCCAACAAACACAGAGGTCTGTTGGAGGATGGCAGGTCTGGGTCTCCATTCCACTTCCCAACAAGCACAAGCCTGTCTTCGATCACGAGGGGAAAACTCATTCGGCTAGGCAGGCGTTGTAGGCCTACATGCGCAAAAGGATAAGGTGTTCGTAGTCAAAACCTTTTTGAGGACTTCGCCGGGTACCCCATCGGGTCCAGGAGCCTAATTGTTCTTCAGGGGTAGGACGGACACCGCTATCTCTCCAAGACTGAAAAGTGGTACGTCATCCATCCTTCCTAAATCTTGCAGTGGGCGCAACGCGTGAGCCGGGAAGAGGGACTCGACTATCCTCTCCATAGTGGTCCCAACCATGACGGAAGGTGGAGAGCGGGTTACAAGTTTATTGGTTACAAGTTTGTAACCCATGTCCCAAGGATTGGAATCGACATCGTCCCTTAATGTATCCCAGCAACTGCGTTTACTCCGGTTGATGGCTCGACGAAGAGACCTCCTAGCCACTCTGTAAGCATCCGACTTACGACGTCTGTCAACAGGTTCTCTGGCCCTGGTAGCAAGTCTTCTGGCTCTCAATGCTGTTTGACGCAATTCTGCTATCTCGGCAGTCCACCAGTACACAGGTCGCTTATTGCACCGGGATCTCCTGCGAGGCATAGACTCATCACAAGCCGAGACGATCAGTCCCATAGTGGATGTAACTAACGCCTCTGCATGAGCCACGCTAGTTGCAGGAGGAACCACCGGCGTCCCTCGTAAGATGGATTCATTGAATTTTGCCACGTCCAATTTTTTTTAATATTTCATCGAACGGGCACTTCACGAAACGCGGATTTGTCTCTGATGACCATTAACCTTTATTAGTTAATTAGTTAACTAATTAATTATGTAATGGTGGTCACTGGCCGTGTAATCCTCCAGGACTCTTCAGGCTCTGATCCTTGGCAAAAGAGACTCAGATGCAAGGGTAATGTCTGGGATCGTTCCCCGCATCCCAGGGCACCGGAAAGTGTTGGCGTGTTGCCCTCGTTGACGACAACGAGTCCGGCTCTGGCAGCAAAATCCAGAATGTACTTGCCCCGGGAATTGGACGTGTCCTGTGGTATCGCTCACGCCTCTTCCAGGCGGTCTATCTAATGTGCATGTTGTAATCATATATACTATTAAGGAAATCCTGTGATAGGAAAGCATGTTTCTAATTAGTTATGACATTTAAATATTAAAAGATTCGCAGAGTTAAGTAGTGATCACTATAACAATCCTTTGTTTCAGAGGTGACTGGGAAGAGATACATTGCAGGCGATCCTTGGATCCACGTAAGTAATTTGTCTACGGCAATTTTATTCATGTCTACATGGAAACGTGGTTGATACTCTTCAGGGAGTATGTAATATTCATTGTAGATAATGGGGAAAAGTGTTTTTCTTTAGTCTTTAAATTTTTAATAGAAAACGGTTGTATAATTGTATATTGGTATTTCAGGGGTTTGGAATATTAAAAGAAACTTTTTTTATTTAACATAAAACACATTTCAGGTATCTTGGGAACAAGCCAAGCAGAACTGCATAGCCAAAGGAAGACAACTAGCGGTTATCAAAAGTGAAGATCAACAAAAAATGTTTGAAGATGCTGCCAACGAGAAATTCGAGGAAAATAGTAAGATGAGTTTAAAGCAATAAGAGCAATAGTTTATTCTTGATTTTCTCCTTATTTGACCCAAGGAATCACTCCGTAAATTATGCTCCCATCAGGGGCAATATGGCAATATGAAGTCACTGGAGACGTTTTTTCCCATAGGAATAACATGGGGATCATTTTTAGTCACTTTTTCAAAAAATCCTGATCTTTGCCTACATATCCCTATATAATTGTCCAACCTTATTCCTCACTTATTCCCTATAAACGTAGTGTGTAGTAGTGTAAAAACGCTATTCACTGGTGCAGGAGGAGGAGCAATCCTAAATTGTACCATAGCACCCCCACCATGTATACAGTTGATATATGTTAATTGAAGTTTCTGACGAGCTAGAGACATGAAATTTAAAATATAGCTCACAAATGGATGACAATACAATATTATATAATTTCATTTTCATATTTCCCTTGGGCTTCGCCCCATAGGCTTCCAAATTTTCCATGTTTACATTTTGAAAGAATATAAACATATCAATAAATTTAAGTCAGCTGTAAATACTTAAATTTGACAGTCGAAGAGCAGAGGTACAGGTTATGCTCCCAAGAGATTCTTTATACCAACAAACATTTTTAATAAAGATAAACAATCTGATTGCAGATATAAAGGTGTTTGTTAATAATGCCAATTGTTATTTATTTAGTACTAGCTGTAACCCGCGGGCTTTGCCCCGTTTAAGTTCTTAATTTTCAAGATTACTCGTTCGCATGGCTCAATCACGTCCTGGTTGACGTTCGTTCGCTACGCTCACTCACCTTTAGGTTGGAGCTCGTTCGCTGCGCTCACTTGCCTTCGGGTTAGCTCGTTCGCTACGCTCACTTGCCTTCAGGTTAGCTCGTTCGCTACGCTAACTCGCCTCCAGGTTGAAGATCGTTCGCTAAGCTCACTCACCTTTTGGTTGCAAATTAGCTGTCGTCATAAATCTAAAAAAAATTATAGTGCTGTACCCTGTTGGTAATCCTTGTAACTTTAATGCTATTGAACATCATAGAACAGAACCAACTTGTTTAATTGAAACAGCTGTTAAGATTCATTAATTCCATTTCTCATAAGGTTAAAATGGGAAACTCCAGAGCCACTGGGGCGGAGCTGATTGGACGGATCACGAAATTGATGGTGTATAAACCTATTCCATGAAATTCTACACGTATGTACCAAGTTTCGTGGCAATCGGTTCAGCGGTGTCTGAGTTTATCACTGCCAAACAAATATATATACAAACAACCTTTTTTTATACTTATAGATTCTATAAAGTAAACAATAAATTAATTAAATAGATTGGTATATTTATTGTTAGTAGGTAGGCCATACATTCAATCTAATACATAATTATATGAAAAGAAACTCAAATAAACCTTAGATTTCCCACATGCCTCTGTCTTAATCTGATATAGATGCTTGAAATAGATTTAACATCTACACACATTAAAAACTTAAAAGTAGAAAATAATTTATAAATATGTGAAGAGTAAAAATACTTGTAAGATTTAAAACGAAAAACGTGGGGTGAATGCAATAGATAATAATATATTAGTTCAATAGGTGAAGGTAATTGTAAATTCTATTGCATGCACCTCACGTTTTTTGTTTTAAATCTTACAAGTATTTATACTCTCCACATATTTATGAATTATTTTCTACTTTTTAGTGCGTTTAAAAGAGGTTTGTTTTAAAAATGTTTTTATTTATAAATAATTTAAACAAGGTAATTTAAATTTAAAACGTGTATATCACAATCATGTTGGTAATGACTTTTCATTTGACCAATTCAGAAATCCCTGTCACCGAAGTTGGGATGAAACTAAATATGGTTTTTTTTTGTAATAGACAAAGAAAGGAAAAATATTTATATTGACAATTTTATATTGACCAGTAGGATGGAGTGAAAGACTCATGTTTACAACATTTGCATTTATTTAGCAGCATTGACTATATCTACACATACAATTTATTGATCCTGGGTCCGTAGTCCATGTCTCCGGGTGTGGCAGAGGCCGGAGCAGTCCTAGCATACGTCCTTACTGGCTATGTTTGATCAAATTTATAATGACCAATAGCAAGCGCATTGATGCCATCTTCTAGAAAAAACCTCTTATCATCATCAAAAGCTAGTACTTGTTTTATTCATGGTTAAGGTTTAAAAGTGATGGTTTGTAGATTTAATTCTTGTCACATTCTCGTAGTAATCTTGCCCAGTTGCAAGACAGTTCAAATAATGCTGATGTCTAAGGAGATGTTTAACTGTGGCACAATCAGCTCCTTTAGTTTTCTTCACCTCTAAAGCTTGCTTTTCATCTTCATATAACCATTTTAGAGGAATGTAAGAATATAACTTTGGTCTTAAACCACAATATTCATACATAATATGACCATCTAATTCGTCTTTAAACTTGCCAGTGCATTTTTATTTTTACCAGAGTATAAGAAATGGTCTGTACTATATCCAGACGTATCGAAATGGTGCAATTCACATTCTATTTCCTTGTAAAAGTCCTCTGTAACTATAGAATACATTAAAGAATCGTGGTCTGTCATTAGAAATCTTTTGTACTTAAATTTTGACAATAATTATAGTGAAAATCATACATCATTACTTTACTGATATCCAAAATGGTAAGGCTTAAATATAAAGGGTTATTAAACTTTACAACTAATTTATTTAAATGTATAGCATGTAAATTGTTATTAAACTTTTTACTACAATCAAACCTTGGATTAGTGACATATTTTGTTAATAGTGACTCATCCTTGAGATATATATATCACGAAACTTGCTATGGTTCATAATTGTTTGACAGAATAGACTATTATTTAACAATTTGTAAAAGTCTTTTTCGAAATCATTTTTAGCACATTCTCGTTTTTCAATATCAAAATGAATATAGGGCGCAAGCCATTTAGTCTGTCAAAATTTTAAAATTCTGTGGTTTTTGTAACAACTAATCCCAATTCCTCATATTTTTGTAATGCTTTATTATGTAAAATATAGTTTTGTCACTGAAATTAGGTATTAATTTGCCATTCATTTTCCCTGGCGCTAATGGATGGTCATTGTGTTAATCATGTAAGCTTTTATCACATTTTAAATCAACTTCTAAAATGTATCGAAACTCATCATTTTAATTATTTTTGTAGTCTATATCATTCATCCAACGGAATTCATCCACGGACGATGGCTCGAACATTACAGTATAGTATAGCGAGTTACAATCTAAATATATTAAATACAAACTCTCTTGATTGGGGTCATAGTGTTCGCCCATATACTGTATCTATTGTTGGATTTATTATAGCGTGTAGAAATCATACTGACTCCTCCTCTTATTGAATTTTCTATGAACAAATGCATGTCAATATGACGAAATAGCTGTAATTTTATACCGTTCATTCTGAGACAGGCCTCCCATGTTAGCCCAGGAAGTGAATACACATGTACGGGGTCAAGTTTGTAAACACAGGTCTCTAAAGGTCTCAAATACATCAGCCAGTAGCAATACATCTGTTTTAAGATATAAATATGATATTCTTATAAATATTTTCTATTAAAATGGCTCTAGACATGTTTAGCATGTTCATATTCATTTGGAGAGATATGTTCTTTAGTTAGAGTACTGTAAAATGCTTCTATTGAAAAAGAGACTCTGCAAGCTTATCTGGTCCCGTCATGTATTCATAGAGAAATACACCTTTGCGTTGTAGTAGTGGATTGTCTATAAATCTAAATGTATTTAAATTGGAAGCTAATTTGTATATTGGGGCTTTAAGTTGCTATTTATAATATTTAAATTGTAATATATTTTGTTTAGAAATTTCCCCTCGTTGGGCATCAAAGGTTTTACAATATGTTGTGTGACGTTCTAATTTATCATTAGTGTAAAAATTTTGTAAACACAATTTACAAAAATACTTCTTATGTTCGTATTTTATAGAGTGTAGCATTAGCTTATCAAAAATTACGAATTAAACAGTAAAGTGATTTACTACCTTGTTGTAATAATAATAGACCAATGTGAGTATTACTATTTAGTTTGGTTATTCTTAATGGATATATGCATTTCTCATCTTCAACCCCAAATACATTAACACTTATATTATTTTGGTTTTCAAATTTATTGATAACAGAAGATATTTTCACGGGATACATTATATTTGTCATATTCAACCAACCTTCATAGGGTACATAATTAGAAACCCTGAAATCATTTTTTGACAAGCTAAAATTGACCAAAGGAAGCATTTGTTATCAACATTTTTTATATTTTAAACTGCTTTTGTCAATTTAATACTTTCTGGTGTGGGGATATATTGACTTTGGAGTTAGAGGCTTATATTTATAAACAAGCAGCTGCCAATATTTGGTATGGTCATATATCCATCCACTACCTTGGGCTTCATATTTGTGCATTGACGTGTCAATCTTAAAAGAGCATTTCCAATTTGGGGTATTAAATCTATTTTCTCAATAGTTATAGTGGTAAGGCTTCTAAAATCTACAATACATTCTTTCTTTCCATTTTGATCCACTGAATATTATATATAATTAGATTCTCCTTATTAAAGTCCATTTTATCGGTAAAGGACAATACTGAAGAGTGTTTTTAAGTTCAGTTCTAATCGATTCACCAACAAATTTAATCATTGTATATGGACATTTGTTGCAAAAATTTACGTGTCTTTTAAAATGTCCAACAACATTTGTTTTACAGAAATTGCAAGTCTTGTGACGTTGTAATATCAGCGATTTTAGAACCATCTTGCTATCACAGATCAAATCACAAACTTTGCACAGTTTCAGCTTCATTTGATGTATTAACTTGTAGTGGCGAATCAGGTTGCTTTTCTTGGAAAAAGAAGCAGAGCACTGTTGACATGTGGTCTTCATTTTTATATATAACTAAAAAAATGTTGGTGTCACCTCTACATATAGACTTTTTGGAATTTTAGAAATTTAACAAGATAATGCCCACCCAGAACTCAATCAAGAGTGACCACTGGAGACAAGAAGCGAGGAACAAGCCTAAGGGGGGGGGGGAATTCCCTGCTCCCAATCACAAGCTATCATTAGAGACAAGAAGCAAGAAGCGGGAGCATGGGTTGGGAGCGCGCCCGAGTTCGCGTTCAAACCTCACACTGTCAAGTTGATGATTTTGAAAATATACGTGCGAATGGGTGTAATCCCCTGACATGGAGTAAAATATCCTGTACACATGGTGGAGTGCTATGGTACAATTTGGGGTTGCTCCTCCTCCTCCAGTGAATAGCGTTTTTACACTACTACCACATGGTGGGGTGCTATGGTACAATTGGGGGTTGCTCCTCCTCCTCCAATGAATAGAGTTTTTACCCTACTTCATCTATGCTACTACTACAGACAAACATATATCCTACTGTAATGGATCCACCAAACAAGTTACCTTTAGTTGCTGGCGGTAAAATATCAAAAACTATAAACTGTATACACGGTGGGGGTGCTATGGTACAATTTGGAGTTGCTCCTCCTCCTGCACCAGTGAATAGCGTTTTTACACTTTTGTCCCCATATGGTGTGTTTTGGTGTAAAAATAAAATTTTCTAATTTGTTTGTTTGTGTTATTTGATGTGACATTGAAAAAGCAATGGTAGAAAATATAAAATCTTTTTAATTAATTAACGTTCGGATAAAATTTGGCATACTCACCAGAAAGTAATCATCTGAGCACTCTTTTGGTGGTGCAATGGAACAATGACAGTTTTAATACTGAAACTGGACGCAGTTTTAACATTCGAATGTTTTGTAAATATTTTATTGGTAGTTAATAATATTAACCAGAAGGTACACATTTTAACATAACGCATTTGATTTATTGTGTATCTTTTTTCAGGAGAACATTCCAGGTCTATTTGGATCGGTCTGAGGGACGAGGCTGGATACAGAAGTTTGGCTCTAAGGTTTGTTTGGATCGACGGTCAGCCGTTGAGGAAGGATGATTTCTCACCTTGGCGGGAAGGAGAACCTAACAACGCCGGCTGGCACGAGGATTGCGTAATAGCAAAACCGGAAAATGGCAAAGACCCAAACACCTCATATAAGTGGAAAGACGTTTGCTGCTACCATAGGAACTTCTATATATGCAGTAAAGGTAAATAGTCCAAGTTCAAATATGTATTCAGATATGACATGGCTCCATACAATTTCCATACGATTTTTATAAGAGGGATGGAATTAAATGTTACAACGCAGGAATATGGTTCCAGTATTTCCTATATCTATCTTGTATTCTATCTTGAGGTCTATCTGTGCTACATTTGTCTTTGTTGAACAACGGATTGTCTTTGCTAAGGATACCAAGAACTAACAATTTCAACAGGCTATTGCCATTGTTAGATCATGGATCCAATGTGCATCTTATAAACGCGTAGCCAAGAAAAGTTGTGCATCCATGAAGAAACACTAATTCAGTTAATGTTTAAAAAAAGGTTGGACCTCAAACACATATAAATTAACAAGAAAGTGTGCAGTAAGAATCGGCTTGACCTGAAACGCATGTTGATTCTATTTGAACTACATTTTGTATGAACATTTAGCTAGTGTAGCCTAACAGTTAAGCTCTAAAAGGCTATCGGCCAATAACCGCGTATGTAGCCGTTGGTCTTAACGAAATAAGTCTAATAATTATTCAAAAACAAAATATCACTCTTGATTTAACTTAAATTAATTAACAAGTTAATTTTTAACATTAACTACAATTAACAATTGTAGTGGGTTAAAAATATCATGTTGCAGTAAGTTGATATTGTGGGAATTTACAATAGGCATAAATTATTGTAATTCAACTTCCAATACTCTTAAAAAGGCAAAATGTTTTTTGCTAGTTTTTTTTTCAAAGTTTGAATGGTGCTTAAAATAATACTATGGTTTTATCCCCAACCAAAAAAATACCAACTTAGCTACTCTTTGGTTTAGTCATTCTTACATCGACACCGTTTCTCGATTATGCACACCTTGTAAATACTGTAAATAATTTTTAGATGGTACGGCTAACTTTAACTCAAAATAAGTAGGTAAACATTGTTAAGATTTTTGGATGTTGGTCTCGTACATCAAAACAAAATCGATATATTCTTGGGGTTTGAAATAAAAATAGCTAGTGGTATTTTGTAGTTGCGAAAATCAAATATATTGTAAGGCAGGTGGTCTAAGCTTCTCATAGTTTTATTAATATAAAGCTTTATTAATATGACTATTATTAACAATAATCAAACCCACCCCTCTCGCAGCAAAGCTCGAGACGTCAACCACTAAGCAACAAGGGCGTTTGTTTACATCTTTAATATTTTTACTTACAACCATACTTCTATTGTTTACCAAAAGGACAACATAGCATTATATTAACCATGAACCACTCACTAAAGTTCTACTTTACTTTGTCACACCAAGGTCTTATTTTGAATTTTTGATAATTCATTATAACTATCAAAGACATGAATTTATAGTAGAATTTTGGCAATTCTTTCCTTTAATTCGTGTTCATTCATCAAACAATAACAAAGGTAATGCGTTACGTTTATTTACATGTGCTCATGGAAGTTGTTGTATTGCTAAAATAATAGTTTTTGTTTCAGGTAATTCAGCGAATGACTATGTTCCTGGTGAACCTTGGGTTAAGGTAAGTCGAATTATTACTTTCTTCTTATCCTGTATTGTATAAGACTATATAAATACCCCCACCGCAGCAAACCTGCAGACTAAGCGAATTTCCATTAGCCTGATAGGATTTCACATAAAAATTCCTCCTTAAAAATATCATATTTACTCCCTATTTAAATAGAATTAGTTTAACGAGTACTTAGGTTTGCTGCAACAGCGAGGGTAAAAAGGTGTTTTTTTTATTTGTTAATAGTTTAGTAAGAAATGAATGTATTTTCCAAATTCAATCAAAATATGTTCATAAACAAGTAAACTACTACAGTTGACTTATTCTCCATAGGAATAACATGGGGATTTTAAATTTACAATTTTTTGGAATTTTCTCCGTAACCATTAGGCGCACAATAACGCTTCAATATACTATATTTATTTGTGCAACTAGTGAGCAAAGTGAGCAATTGACTCACTCAAGAGAAATACTTACTCACGAGCCGTAGGCGAGTGAGGAATGGTTTCTCGAGTGAGGCAATTGCACTTTGCACTCGAGTTGCACATTATATTTTTCCTACAGATACCATAAAACAAATAAATTGGCAGAGAAACATAACATATTTTTACACAGAAATGAACTTTTAATATGACATTTAATGATACAACAGTACAACAGCTGACCAGCTGATTTACAGCCAGTGCTGCCAACGTATTTCGCACGCATACGACCTTGTCTGCATATGTTACACGCTCACTATTTTGTGCCTTCACGTTGCAAATCTGGAGTAAGACAAAGTAAGTAGAGTGAGACAATGTTAACATTGTCTCACTGATGAGCGAATTGGCCACTTTGCTTTCTCAAATCAGACATTGTTAGGTAACTGTAGGAAAAATTATTTGTTTTTTAAGCTCTACAAAATGGTTTGGAAATAAATTGTAAAACTTTTTGTTTTTAGGGTCAAAAATGGGAAAAACCTATTTTTACCCCGTAAAACCCCCCATAAACCACCGTTTCCATAGTCCGATCATGCTGGTTCGCGAACTCGTTCGAATAAATGTAGGTTTACACGTTTGTATCAAATTTCATCAAAATCGGATCATTTTTGCTCGAGTTATCGTGCTAACGGACATATATATATATATATAGGTATATATATATATATGAATTTGAACGTATGGTGTTTTTGGCCTCTAGGGACCTCAAAACGAAAAAATAAATCGGTCCCGGGTCCAGGTCTTACCATGAGTACTACGGTAATAGCTTATTCCCTATATGGGAAATTTGCTAAAAGATTTTAGAATAAAAATAATATAAATTTAATAATGAGAACAGATTTTCAAAGATGAGCGTAAAAATACAAAATTATCTCAGGTGTTTAGTATTGTAGTATAGTTTAGTAATGTATAGATTTTAAAACTCATTTTTTTACTTCATACTGTAGTTGTTTTTCTAAACCACGTTTAGCTAATCAATAAAAGGTTACAATTCCTGCAGACTGCCTTGTGGGTTTTGTTGCAGGTATTGTAACCTTTTATTGATTAGCATTTTCTTATTATTTTTGTTGGTATATTGACATACGTAGTATGACGGGAATAACGGGTGTTTCAATCTCCTTTTTAAACTTAAAAAAAATAATGCTAACTTAAAGATTTACAACAAGTACCACGATTACAAGTTGTTTTCGTAAAATGTGGTTATCTGATTAAAAAACAGTAAAATGTTTTTGAAATGTTAGGATAAGAATTTGAATGGTGTTTAACGTTGAGGTTTCTTTATGACAAGTAAAGTTTGAAGAAAATTTAAAAACTCATCTACTATTTCAGGTAACTTGGAAAGAAGCAGATGAACTATGCCATATGAAGGGTCACCAATTGGCTATTATAAGTAATGAAGGACATAGTCAAGCGTTTGCTGCTACTGCAGCACACAAGTTTAGAGAAACAGGTGAAGTGATGATTTTTATTAACAAATACATTATCCCTTAAATAGTTCCTACCTAAATTATATTCATTTTAAACGATAATAGTTTTAACTGTGCAATAAGGAAACACGTAACCAGTAGAGGGGGCATTAGGATCAAACACATATTTTATAAAGATTGCAAACGAAAACAACCCCTAACTTAAACTTTGTCGAAAGACCAACAATTTCTTGAAATATTTCATCAATCCATTACGATTTTTTAAAGAGAAGAATACTTCGCATCCGCATTGATAGATAAGTTAATTATTGAGAGAAGAGGAGTGTTACATCCACAACTATTAAGCACGAGGAATTATTATACACCAAGACAGAATGGCAGATGTTTGAATTATAAACGAAATGAGAAAATCTAAAGGTAAATAAGTAGTCAATGAAAAAGACTCGGTCAAAGTATCGTGCTAAACAGGAAATTGAACTTACTGCAATAAGGAAACACGTAACCAGAAGAGGGGGCATTAGGATCAAACACATATTTTATAAAGATTGCAAACAAAAACAACCCCTAACTTAAACTTTGTCGAAAGACCAACAATTTCTTGAAATATTTCATCAATCCATTACGATTTTTTAAAGAGAAGAATACTTCGCATCCGAATTGATAGATAAGTTAATTATTGAGAGAAGAGGGGTGATTCAAATGATTCAAATGATTCAAATGATTTATTTGGCCATTCAGTTCATACAGGACAATAGGCTACGTCAACAATACAATAAATAATAAATAACATGCCAAGCTTCTTCTAGCATTCTTGACTGACAAAATAAAATTAAAAGCTGAAAAAAAAACACATGCAGGATCTCAATTAATATAAAACATGCAAAGCAATGCATGCAACTAAAAATTAAAAGAAAATTCAAACTACATGCTCCAAGCCATGCAAGGCAGAGAAAAATAAATAAATTTACATTTTTGTAATACCTCTACTGGACTACTGTGGGTTCAACCCAATAGTAACAAGCTGTGCATTCCAAAACTCTTTTATGGAATAGAATGGATTGGCAAGCATCCAAGCTTTTAGTGTGGTCGCAAACTTGTTCGGTAAGAGTTGTCTTACAGTTATGGGTAAGGCATTGTAGAACCTTATTCCTGCAACAGGAAAGCAGTTGAGAGTTAAATCTAGTCTAACTCTATCTCTAAAGATATTTTCATTGTTCCTAGTGCTATAATGATGAACATTATTAACCAATGGAAAAGCTGATTCATTGTTCTTAATCTCTAACAGGCATTGGTAAATAAATACATTGTGTACAGGCATTATACCATGCTGAACAAACAGAGGTTTACAATGCTCAAGCTGATGGACTCCACACAAGACCCTGACAGCTTTCTTCTGTAGTTTGAGGACTTTTTGCACTCCAGGGGAGTGACCCCAGAGCCTAGTGCCATACAGAATGTGAGCATGGAAAAAAGCAAAGTACGCAAGTCGAACAAATTCAAATGGCATGTCAGCCTTCAACCGTCTGAGCAAATGGATTACACGACTTAGCTTACCACACAGGATTTCAATATGATCGTTCCAATCAAGCTGAGGGTCAAGGGTGAAGCCCAGCAGCTTTACAGTGTTTTCTTCCCTCAGTTCCCTAGAAAGACTGAAAGTGATGTTTTGAGTTTTGGCTTGGTTCAGGCATAATTTATTGTTGCGAAACCAGATAGAAGCCACATCTAATAATTCCTGCACAGCAACTTTAGATACAGAAAATTCTGAGTGACTAGAAAAGAGAGTTGTATCATCTGCATATAGCAGGACATTGCCTGCAACACTGTGATACAAGTCATTGATTGAGATTACAAAAAGGAAGGGACCCATAATAGACCCTTGCGGGACTCCATTGTTCACCATCAGAGGACTGGAAGAGTTACCATTCCAAGTCACAACTTGAGACCTCCCTTCAAGATAAGATTTAATCAATGAGAGAGCATCGCCTCGTACCCCGTACCTTTCGAGCTTTGACAACAGGAGACTATGTGACACACAGTCAAAAGCGCGGGATAGGTCACACATTATAACAGAAGTAGAATTTCTAATCTCTAGACCATTTAAGATTTCTTGAACAAGACAGTCCACAGCCTGAACGGTGGACTTTCCTTTTTGGAAGCCAAATTGAGCGGGCACAATAAGGCGATGCCTCTCAAAGTAGCTGTACAGCTGCTCTAACATGACTGCTTCAAGCACCTTACCAAAGATGGGGATGATAGATATTGGTCTGTAACTTACAGTACTGTCCTTTGGTCCCTTTTTGTACACAGGTACAGTCCTACTAATCTTCAGAGCCTCAGGAAAGACTCCTTCTCTCAGAGATTTATTTTCAATATCTACAATGATAGGCGCAACTACATAGGTACATATTTTTAAAAGTTCAACAGACATGTTATAAAATGCTTAATAGTGTTACATCCACAACTATTAAGCACGAGGAATTATTATACACCAAGACAGAATGGCAGATGTTTGAATTATAAACGAAATGAGAAAATCTAAAGGTAAATAAGTAGTCAATGAAAAAGACTCGGTCAAAGTATCGTGCTAAACAGGAAATTGAACTTACTGAATCAAGGTGACCCATCATGTGATCCCTGGTTCTCTATGTTAAATGCTTTAATTGGTGAAGGAAGCGAGCTGGTCTAGTGGTAGAGCTTTAGAGGCCAAGGTCCCAGGTTCAAATTCCGCCATTCCTCAATGGATTTGATCTATGTGATAATGCCGTTACCCTCTAGACTAGCCTGAAGTAATGTGTAAAACAGATCCGGACTCGGACCTAGCGTCCCATGTGGTACATACAAATATTGGTAGGCGTAAAAGTCCTTAGAAAAAAATTGATCTAAAAGATTTTTTTATATTTTCTCATCAGGTAGTGAGGCAGAGGAGCTGTGGATCGGTCTGAAGACGCTAGAACGGAGGTTTAAGTGGGTTGACAACTCTCCTCTGGGCTCCTACACCAACTGGCTGCCTTCAGAGCCCACCAATGCGGGGGGTGGAGAGCTTTGTGTCAAAGCGGAGGGGAGGAGAGACGTGGAGCCGTTGTGGCCAAACGCTAAGCCATACCAGTGGAACGGCGTGTGGTGCACTGCCAAGCGATCGTACTTCTGCGAGGACAAAACAGGTGATTAATATTTCAATTAGGACCATTAAATTTGGTGCTCTAATTACATAATGCAGAATGTAACTGTGACATTTATTTAACATAATGTATATGTGACATAACCTAATGGGAATTTGAAATTTTAATTAGTCAATTTTTGAGGCAATGTTAATTGTGGCCGACACGGTTTTTTGTAATTTAATAAACATGTTTATTTTTGTATTGACGTTGGCCCTACTTGCAACATAAAATTCGTAAAAAAAGGATTTGTTTTAAATTTGCTGTTTAGTTTATTGAAAAAGTGTGTTTTGATTCGATGTGAGGGTTAAAGAAACAATCCAAGGAAGGGAACTGCATTTGATTAGCCACTGCACATTGATATGCTTTGTGGAACTATGCTATGAATAAAACTATGGTATAAATAGAACTATGGTTTAAAGGTTGAACTATGGTTTGCTCTGCTCCTGGAACTGATAGGTTTTGTAGCATATTCTCGGATTAAAGTTTGAATCAAAAATTATATACACCCAACAACCTATGGAGCAGTTGCGCTTCCAAAGTTATCCTCTTAATTCATAAACAAGTCTCACGAGAACATATTGGATTCGCTAGTAAATGTTTCACTCCGTAATATTTTATTATTTTGGTATGTTTGCTACTACTTTTTTCCACCGTTTGGGTGAAATTTGCTTCAATTATGTTTATTATTTGGATAAAGCTTTTGATTTCCAATATATTTTAAAATTGAATAGTAAATTTTACAAGCTGCTTGTGATTATTGTTTATGTTTGTTTAATCGTTACGACTTGTTATTGTTCAGCTATTGAAATTTATATAATTTATGGTGTTACATAGTGTTGTTTATTTAATAATACGAATGTGAAAATTAGGACAAGAGGATATCCCAGCAAAAAAAAAAACATAAATAGATCCATCTAGGACCACAAACACTAGTGCTTTAAGAATAAATCATTCAACCAATTTTTTTCAGATTCCACAGAATCCAACATTGCTCCTGGGGACCCATGGACTAAGGTATTCAGGACTATAAGTGTAAACTCATTTAGTCTCTTTTTAAACTACATTGATTACCTAAAATCATTCTAAATACACTAAGAATGACCTGTATCTATATGAATGGAAGGCTACTTTTAAGATTGGTTTAGAGTTGGTAATTTATGTCTGTAATAAACCAAAAGCCCCTATAAAATATGATAAGTTTTAAAAATATTTTATTATATTTCACTAGCCCTAGCTATAATTAATGTTTAAATTTATAACGTAGTATGGATAAATAATTTGAGAGAAATCATTCCTTAATAGTAATAAATGTTGACATATCTTATTTGAAATAAGAATACAATGGAGTTCTGGCAATCTTAAACACGACTGAATTATGTCATGTAAAGTAGTGTATTATTTTTGTGTCTTTTTATGTCTCCTATAAAGGATTAGCTTAGCTCAACTAACAATTACTTTGGGATATTATAGATCATAAAGATACTTAAAGTTACAAACAAGATTCAATTTACCTGGCTAAATGTTCTTTATCTTGTAGGTAACGTGGCACGAAGCGAGAAAAAATTGTGATGAAATTGGAAAGAGACTCGTCGTATTAAAAACTAAGGAAAAGATACAAAGATTTAAAGAAGCTGCTGTAAATATCTTTAGAAGCAAAGGTAATTGATTGTATAAATGTTATATTTAGTTTGCATTACAACGATGGTCATGGCATTCTTCAACGCTATAAACTGCTAGATGTTATGTTGATACAAATGTTCTACAATATTATTATACTGCATTTGAATAGTATGAATATATAAAAGAACATAACCTACTATTTCATTCAAATTCAATTAGCTTTGGAATAGTTTATGCCTATATATTTATCTCCTATTTATTTATATAAATAATCTGTATTTACAGATTATTTTAATTCTAAAACATATAACAAAAACATAAACAATACTGGAGCTATTGATTTTTTATCATAGAAAGTCCTTATAGTAATAATTTGTATGTTGGTTGTTTACCTCGCGTTTGCTTGAAACTCGTCTGATTTGAATAACTAATAGCTTAAATGAAAGCTGGTATTTCATTTAAGTTTCTTAGTCCTAAACATATAGGATTATATAATTATAGCTCGTGAAATACTTCCTAAATTGGAGTAAAAATTTTGAAAAAAAATCAAATTTATGTATTTTGGTCAAGTAATACGGTAGATGAATATATTCCGATGCTTGATGTGAAATTTGTGCGTGCATACCTCAATTTGAGACATCAATCATGGAAATCAGTCGGGTAAAAGAGCTAAACGAACTCGGAAAAGAAAAACCAAATTTAACTCCCATACGAAATACATAGGAAGCAAATTTAGTTTACGTATAAGCCGAGTGTTACTTTAGATAAATATATGCCGATGCTTTATGTGAAATCTGTGCGTTCGAGCCTTCAATTTGAGACCTCAATCATGAAAATCTGTCGTTTATAAGAGTTGAACAAACTGTGCAAAGAAAAACTATTTTTTTACGTATACGATACTGTGATTTCATCTCTAGGAGAATCTCCAAGTTCGACCTGGATAGGACTAGCAGACTGGGAGTGGGAGGGTCGCTTTACATGGCTGACTGGTCAACCTCTGAGGGGATGTGACTTCTCTGCTTGGGGGACCAACGAGCCCAACAACAACGGTGGTCATGAGAACTGTGTACACGCTATCCCTGAAGCCTACAAAAATCTATATAACCTATTTTTAAGCCTAATAAAGCCTAACGACGCGATCACCTGGAATGACGACTTATGTCGGCTCAAGAAATTCTACTTCTGCTCTGAAGGTGATAAGATTATCATTGTTAAGGTTGATTCACACTTCAGTCCAGTCACATTTCCGACACAGTTCCGTCACAGTACAATCACAGTTCAGCCACAGTTCAGTCACATTTCAGCCACAGTTCAGTCACACTTCTGTCATAGTTCTGTCACAGTTCAGACACAGTTCTGTAACAGTTCTGTCACAGTTCTGTCACAGTTCTGTCACAGTTCAGTCACAGTTTTGTCACAGTTCTGTCACAGTTCAGCCATAGTTCTGTCACAGTTCAGCCACAGTCCTGTCACAGTTCAGCCACAGTTCAGCCACAATTCTGTCACAGTTCTGTCACAGTTCAGTCACAGTCCTGTCACAGTTCAGCCACAGTTCAGTCACAGTTCTGTCACAGTTCAGTCACAGTCCTGTCACAGTCCTGTCACAGTTCTGTCACAGTCCTGTCACAGTTCTATCACAGTTCAGTCACAGTTCAGCCACAGTTCAGTCACAGTTCTGTCACAGTTCAGCCACAGTTCAGTCACAGTTCTGTCACAGTTCAGTCACAGTTCAGTCACACTTCTGTCATAGTTCTGTCACAGTTCAGACACAGTTCTGTAACAGTTCTGTCACAGTTCTGTCACAGTTCTGTCACAGTTCAGTCACAGTTTTGTCACAGTTCTGTCACAGTTCAGCCATAGTTCTGTCACAGTTCAGCCACAGTCCTGTCACAGTTCAGCCACAGTTCAGCCACAATTCTGTCACAGTTCTGTCACAGTTCAGTCACAGTCCTGTCACAGTTCTATCACAGTTCAGTCACAGTTCAGCCACAGTTCAGTCACAGTTCTGTCACAGTTCAGCCACAGTTCAGTCACAGTTCTGTCACAGTTCAGTCACAGTCCTGTCACATTTCTGTCACAGTTCTGTCATAGTTCAGCCACAGTTCAGTCACAGTTCTGTCACAGTTCTGTCACAGTTCAGTCACAGTCCTGTCACAGTCCTGTCACAGTTCTGTCACAGTTCTGTCACAGTTCTGTCATAGTTCAGCCACAGTTCTGTCACAGTTCTGTCACAGTTCAGTCACAGTCCTGTCACAGTTCTGTCACAGTTCTGTCACAGTTCAGTCAAAGTTCAGCCACAGTTCAGTCAAAGTTCAGCCACAGTGTAGGTAAAGTTCAGCCACAGTTCAGTCATATTTAGTCACAGTTCTGTTACAGTTCATTTACAGTTCTGTCACAGTTCAGTCACATTTCAGCCACAGTTCATGCACAGTTCTGTCACAGTTCAGCCAAAGTTCTGTCACATTTCTGTCACAGTTCTGTCACAGTTCAGTCACAGTTCAGTCACGTTTAGCCAAAGTTCAATCACAGTTCAGTCACAGTTCTGTCACAGTTCAGCCACATATCTGTTACAGTTTTGTCACAGTTCATTCACAGTTTTGTCACAGTTCAATCACAGTTCTGTAACAGTTCTGTCACAGTTCAGTCACAGTTCTGTCACAGTTTAGTCACATTTCAGCCACAGTTCAGTCACAGTTCAGTCACATTTAGCCAAAGTTCAGTCAAAGTTCAGCCACAGCTCTGTCACAGTTCTGTCACAGTTCAGTCACAGTTCTGTCACAGTACAATTACAGTTCAGCCACAGTTCTGTCAAAGTACAATTACAGTTCAGCCAAAGTTCAGTCACAGTTTAGTCACAGTTTAGTCACAGTTCAGTCACAGTTCTGTCACAGTTCTGTCACAGTTCAGCCACAGTTCTGTCACAGTTCTGTCACAGTTCAGTCGAAGTTCAGCCACAGTTCGGTCACATTTAGCCACAGTTCTGTCACATTTAGCCAAAGTTCAGTCACAGTTCATTCACAGTTTAGTCACAGTTTAGTCACAGTTCAGTCACAGTTCTGTCACAGTTCTGTCACAGTTCAGCCACAGTTCTGTCACAGTTCTGTCACAGTTCAGTCGAAGTTCAGCCACAGTTCGGTCACATTTAGCCACAGTTCTGTCACATTTAGCCAAAGTTCAGTCACAGTTCATTCACAGTTTTGTCACAGTTCAATCACAGTTCTGTCACAGTTCTGTCACAGTTAGTCACAGTTCTGTCACAGTTTAGTCACATTTCAGTCACAGTTCAGTCACATTTAGCCAAAGTTCAGTCACAGTTCTGTCACAGTTCAGTCACATTTAGCCACAGTTCTGTCACAGTTCTGTCACAGTTCAGCCACAGTTCTGGCACAGTTCAGCCACAGTTCTGTCACAGTTCAGCCACAGTTCTGTCACAGTTCTGTCACAGTTCAGTCACAGTTCTGTCACAGTTCTGTCACAGTTCAGACACAGTTCTGTTACAGTTCAGCCACAGTTCTGTCACAGTTCTGTCACAGTTCAGTCACAGTTTAGTCACAGTTCTGTCACAGTTCTGTCACAGTTCAGTCACAGTTTTGTCACAGTTCTGTCACAGTTCAGCCATAGCTCTGTCACAATTCTATCAATTTGTCATCATCCATCTTGATGATTGTTATAAATAATACTTAAGATATAAAGATATAAAACACAATTTATGTATTGATAGTCAAAGGTCAAACACATACATCGCACAAGTGTCAGGGGTTCGAATGTGACTGAATTGTGAGGTGCAGAAACTGATGTGTCTTAATAGACCTTAATTCATTTTGGTTGAACTTATCATAACGTCTGAAAGAAATATTAAATTTTTCACGACATAGTTTAAGTCATTTAATAATCTAAAATTGGCCTAAATGCCTATACAGTATCAGCATTTCCAAATCTTAAAATTGTATTTCAAGGGACAACAATTTTATCATATCAAACTTAACATACAATACAATGTTAGTTTCTTGAAATACTTCAATTGTATTTATTACATTCAAACAGACAGCATTTACGACAATAATTATTTTAATTCTTGTACTACCACAAAGAATAGTCCCAAACAGAAATAAATAAATATTTTTAAATTTAAACCTAACCATCAAAATAGCCAACATATGAAATTGTATGCAACAGAAGTATGAATATTCCGAAATAACTTTTTATTGTTCAGATTTACAAAATATAAATGAATGTTACAGGAGGAACGGTGGATGGTAATTATGTCCCAGGAAATCCATGGACTAAAGTAAGTTGTTACAAAGGTTAATTAATGAGTAATTGATGTGATTAAAGAAAATAAATTCTTTAGCATTCGAAATATTAGTTATAATATTTGTCAAGCAACAATATTGTAAGCATAATAAAAGGATGATTTTTTTTCTATAAAGGAAGATGGTTTTAATTGTTAATTTATTTCTAGGTCACGTGGCAAGAAGCAAGTGACAACTGCCAAGCTCAGGGACACAAACTAGCTGTTGTAATCAATCAAGAACAGCAGAAAAAGTTTGAAGAAGCAGTCGCAAGATATCTAAAAAGTTTGAGTAAGATAAAAATGCTATTTTATTTTTGATTAGTAGAAGTGTTAATTTCAAAAGCTAGTCTAGCAGTTACATATGACTAATAACTTAGCTTCTGAGCGAATTATAAAACGATACTTTCAATGTGGTATCATAAATTTGATATTTTTATTACCCACCCCTTTTAACATATTCTCTAGGTAATCTTTCAGGTATTGAGTATTCAGAAATATTTATCAGTATTTACTAGCAGGGGCACCTAGTTTTATTCATTGATCACAGAAAGCTATCTGTATACGAGTACACTATAAACATCACGATGATCGGTAAACATCGATTTATCAATCATTGGAAACGATTTCAGGTAGACAGACAGACTAGGTATTAAAGCGATAAAAATGTAAATTAAATTTCAGTAAATATAACCATATCAAAATAGCCACTGATGGAGGATTCTTCTTTGACAGTCTAGCCAACCAAGCGTGTTTTGATCCAAAATGCAAGTACTAAACTTTACCTCCGTACTTATTTAGCCCCATGATAAACGTTATACCGTTGTGGTTTATCCCTACAATTTGTTCCAGAAGACTGCACCATTGGTTTATCGCTGTGGATTGGTTTATCGTCTGAAGACAGAAAGTTCAAGTGGATGGATGGAACTGAGCTGGAGCTGCCTGATTGGTTGCCTGGAGAGCCTAACATTGTGGGAGGAAGTGAGAACTGTGTGGAAGCCATACCAGAAGAGAGCAACCGGCCTAATTGGCCCGGCGGCAAACCGTATCAATGGAACGACGGCAACTGCCCTGAGAAGAAACGATATTTCTGCCAAGAAGAAATCCTCGATCGTTATTAAAATTTGAAATCTTGTTTTTACTATTTCAACGATGAAATAACCTATAAAAGATGAAAGCGTAATTAATTAAATGTATTAAACATAGCAATAAATAGTTGTTTTATCTGTGATTTAATTTTATCTTTTATCATTGATCCTATATTTATATGCACATGTGAGATATTTTTAAAATTTTTGAACTAATTTTGAAAATATACATAACTCAACGTTTCAAATATGTTTGAAATTTCCCGCTTTGAATTTGCTTTACTAAAATGCTTCTTTCCAGCTTAATCCGTAACTTAACTATTCCGACTATACCATTGGTTGTATGTTTTATTTTAACGTTCTGTCTATTACATATTTCAACAGTCTTACACGTTTTTGTTTTGTAAGAGAAGCGCAGAAATCGTTGTATATTATAAAGAAATAACATATACTTTTTTTTTGCGTAAACCAGTCTTCCTATACGATTCAGTATCCACGTGTTCAAAACCTATAAAGTGATATAGTTGGAATTTCGATCTAAAAAATGTAAATTTACAATATTAATACTGTAACTGCATTCGTTTTTAATTGTTTTGTGTGTTTATACGCCAGTGGCATTTTTAAGCTTTGAAAGGGAACGGTCCAAACGCTGGTCTTGTTGCTACCTACGTCAAACGTTCTGTTAGATAGCATCATTCATAGCCCAGTTACAAATAGCATCTGGGTCTGGAAACGATCTCGCAAGGAATCGAACCAGCGACCTTCAGATTTGAAGGCGAGCACTATAACCACTCGGCTACCCAGACAATCAATTGCAAGCCTGGAATTAATTAGTTTGTCCATCATTAGTAAAGTTACTTTATATTGTATTAAAATTTCTCAATGTTTTTTATCCTTTTGTTTAAATCTTTATGAAGACATTTTCCAAATATAATTTACTAAGTTGGACGCACATTAGATTTACGATTATTATAATAATCATAATGCAAATGGCAATCGAGCAGTTAATATTAATATGCCTATATTGACAACAAAAAATAAAACTGATATGTACATCCGTGATAATTGGGTTAGGCAATTAAATTACTATACACTTAATTATATGCAATCTCGTAGCCATATTTCAGATTGCTTCGATATGTCCTGAGCTAATCTCTTACTTACACTAATATTATACTTTCCGTGTCCGGAAATCAGACTTCGCTTTTCCAAAAATTAGCTACCGATATGGCTTTGTCATTCGCTTGTAAAATATCATCTAATGTGCAAGACTGGTCTAGCGTGGACAGATCAGCAGATGACCAAGATCCTGAACAGCACCACACGCGCACAAGATGTTTTCTTCGTCTGGTAAGAGACCCCATTTCTGCATGTTTGTCTTGCATTTTGGTACCTCGACCCTTACACTAATATTATAATCTGTCATATATCTCAAATTTATCAAAGCCTTTTTGGATCACAACATATTAAATAGTGAAAGTATGAATTTTACTCATACGTATCTCAATTCTCTCGAAAGTATCTCATGCCACACATACGAGTATAACACTACATAATTATGCCTATGGTTTGTAGCTATGGGAAACATATTCATTGAAAAAGTAAGATTGCCAAGTATTGCTGCTTGTGTTGTTTTAAACTCCAGGAATGTAATATTACAATTTGGTGCTCACTTAATCCCTCACCTCGCCTTGTAAAGACTCAGTTCTCAAATTAAAAACAATTAGTTAATTTAAAATGCTTATGTATATTATATAATCTAAAATTAATCAATTTTTTACACAAACTCCATTTAATATTTAAATAGCCCTAACCTCTTATAAGGATCATTCGTATTATATAAAATTAGAAATTATCAACTCCCAAGAAAATGTCTATACCAACAACTTTCAAATGCATTAAACCTTAGCTGTGTAGTTTATTATAAGAATACTATTGAATATTTTTATATTTTATTATATACTATTATTATAATTATAATATTACTGAATATTTTATAATGTTCTACTATGTAGAAACGTACTGTACTTATAAACACTGAACACTCTTCCTCCATGAAAACTTCATTCTATATCCTACTCGCCAAGTAACAAAATTCACCAAATTTATATATTAGATATTTAATTAATCTATATATTAAAAATATCGGTTTTTCTTTTCCGAGTCTGTCCGCCTCTTCTACCCGACCGATTTTCATAATTTTGGTCTTAATTAAAGGTATGCACGCGTAGATGTGCCATAAAGCATCAGCATTCATTTATCTACAGTATTACTTGACCAAAAAACAGAAATTAGATTTTTTTTTTTGTTACTTCAATTGAAGATATATTTCCTCAGTTTACGTAATATATCTATTTATACTATTATAAAGAAGAGGTGGTGTCTGTGTGTGTGTCTGGGTGTGTGTTTGTATGAGATAATCTCAAAAACTACTGAACCGACTGGGCTCAAATTGCACACAAATGAAGCTACAGCTCTGAAGATACATATAGAACTATTCCCGCTTCGATATTGTCCTAGGGCTCTGCCCCATGGGCTTTCAAAAATTTGAGGTGAGAGATTTAAAAGTAAATATTGATTGATGGTATCCATGGTAACAAAGAACAAACCTACAAGGTTTAAAAATGTAAACAATCAGAACTAATCTGTCAATTGCATTTTGATTTCACTATTCCACACAGCTGGTTCGAACATTTATTTAAATACTGCACGAATATTAGAACAGAGAGGGTAAGGATCATATTTAAAATAATGACGTCACTAGCCTGAATGTAAACATTATTTAACATTACTTAAATGGAGCTGTCAAACCATATGTTAATGTCATTTCATTATAATAGGATTCTTTCAGTTACATAATTTGTTTATGTCTATAATCAATTATACTGAGTCCCTTCTAATATTTGTGATACGCTGTAATAATATTTTACACTGAATATTTCATTGTAAAAAGGAATTATTTATAGATATAGGAAATAATTAAGATTCTACAATCATTGCCGTATCAACCTAGGCCTTTATCCTGAGTTGTATGAGTATTATGTTTTGGATTTATTTTTGAGTAAACAGTAATTTAATATCCCTGCTGCAGCAAACCTATAGACTAAGCGAATTTCCATTTGCCTGATTGTCATTTCCCTAAAATATGTTAGAAAACTACACTATTGACAGGTTTGGAACTATTGTGATAGCTTTTCGTTTACAGTCCAAACCATTAAACAGGTTCTTTTATTATACCTTAAAATATATCATTGGTTTTGTATCCTAGGTAGCCTAAATAAGTATTCACAGTATGCGTTGAGTATATAAAAAGTACTAGACCTATTACTATTATCAAGCTAAGTAGGCTAATACAGTTCAATTTCGTTTCTAAAATAAATGGTAGGGAATGAAACCATTTGGCATTTATAAAGACCCAGCATTAACTCTTTTGCATACAGACCCCGTTGCAAGGCACGGGTATATCTGCTAGCGAATACGAATAGTAGCGCTGGTTGCAGTAGCACCGGTCAAATTTTTAAGCGACCGACGCTACTACTGTATTTGGGACCGACGGGATTGATTTTTTTAGTATCTTATATAACTTAGAGTTAATCATGTACTACCTCAAAGTCTATTTCTACATAAATTACAATTCCATAATACCCCCGCCGCAGCACACCTGCAGCCTATTTTCAATTTTTTAGTATCTAGGTTATGCTGCTACAGGGAGGTTTACGAAGCGTGATTGTAGGAAAATACTATTAGCTTATTATAGAATAAATAAACTTGACGAATTTGATAAAAATATATCCAAAAGGAATTAAAGAATTTCGTCAGCTGTTTCAACTGCACAAGTTAGTTCTATTATAGCATTAACAGGTTTTAAGGTTTACATACAGGGTGCAGCACTGCTATTTTGTTGCATTTATAACAACAGCTAATTTGAACCAACTGTGGTACACAATGAGACCTTTACTTTTTTCAATGGTTCAGGGGCAGTGGTAGAACAAAAGAACCAAACTTTCTTAAACCATGTCCTCACCCATAACTGCAATAAGCATTTTATACTTATAACCCAAAACCCGTACGAAGGACGGGTACTCTGCTAGTCCTATATGTTTTGGTCTAAGAACCTTCAGTGAAATACCAGCTTTCATTTGAGCCCTTGATTATTAAGATCGGACGTACCTGAAGCGCGCTGCTGAATTCCAAACAATAAAAAATGTAATTATTATTATCAATAACCCCATTTTTATTTTAGTTTGTTTATATGTTTTGTTCTTAAAATACTCCTAGAAATAAAAGCTTTCATTTGAGATATAGATCGTCCGTATCAGTTATGTTCAAAATACTGTATTACTCAATCAAAAAACATCTTATATATTTAAAAAAATTGGTTTTTCTTTTCCGAGTTCGATTGGCTCTTCTACCCGACCGATTTTAATGATTGAGGTCTCAAATTGAAGGTATGCACGCACAGATTTGCCATCAAGCATCGGCATATATTTATCTATAATCCTACTTGGTTTATAGTACGTAAACGAAATTTACTCCCCATATATTTCTTATGAGAGTTAAATTTGGGTTTTCTTTTCCGAGTTTGATTGGCTATTCTACCCGACCGATTCTCATGATTGAGGTCTTTAATTGAAGGTATGCACCCACAGATTTGCCATCAAGCATAGGCATGTATTTATCTATAATCCCACTCAGGTTATACATAAAAGAAATTTGCTCCCCATGTATTTCTTAAGGGAATTAAATTTGGTTGTTCTTTTTCGAGTTCGTTTGACTCTTTTACCCGAAAAATTTTCATGATTGAGGTCTCAAATTGAAGGTATGCAAGCACAAATTTGCCATCAAGCATCAGCATATTTTTATCTTTAATCCGATTCAGCTTATACGTAAACGAAATTTGCTCCCCATGCTTTTCTTATGGGAGTTATTTTTTTTCTCTTTTTCGAGTTCGTTTGGCTCTTCTACCTGACCGATTTGCATGATTTAGGTCTCAAACTGAAGGTATGCAAGCAAAGATTTCGCATCAAGCATCGACATATACTTACTGTATTACTCGACTAAAAAAATAATTTGATTAATTTTTGTATTCTTACATCAATTTAAGATGTATTTCGCCAGTTATAATTATATAATCGTATATATTTTGGTCTAAGAGTTTTCAGTGAAATATCGGCTTTTATTTAAGCGATTAAGATACTGTATTACTCAATCAAAAATCATAAATTTGATTTTTCCCCGGATATTATATCTATTTAAACGCTGCAGAGCAGCATGGGTCCTCTAGTTAGGTTTTAAAATACTTGCACGCATTTAAATTATTTAAATGATTTAAATCTTTAAAGATAGTCTTGACGTTTATAAAGTTGATTTGGTTTGTGAATGAAAGACTTAGAAGTTAGACGCTTTTCACGATTTCTTTTACAATGTCACATTTGCATTATAATTTGAATATTATGTAATTACAACTTATATTATTATTGAGCTATATTCATCCATTAGTTCTCTAAGAATTCGAATATTTATCGTACAAACAATAAATAAATTTGTAAAGTCCCGAGGTTAACTCTAACAAACACTTGAAGTCAGATTTGGAGTTTATGGTCAAAGCAATTTCGTACAAATGGTTTTATTAATACAAATGGTTAAGAGATTAGCATAGCTAAAGTTCTGTCAAAAGCTAGATAATGCATAATATTTGTATTGTTAAGTATAATTCTATATCCCTAAGTTTACATGTATTTGCCTCAAATGTTGCCTTTCCTTAGCACTGGCTAAACTAGTTTATTGTACTGCGGTTAAATATTAGTCGGAAAAGCAGTGATATTAATATTATCTATTTATTAATACTCTCAATCCATTATCCTGTAAGAACTAGCAAACATATTATATAAATATTGAGTCAATACTAGAGCTAATTTAGATACCATTTAATGAGTAGTACAATGGATACATGAATTAATAATATGGAGATCAACATTAGATAGAATTTATACTATATTTTGTTGTGTAAAGATCATGCATTGCATGTTAGTATAGAACGTACTTTGATTTTTAATTATGATTCTGGGTTCAATCACTGGCTAAAGAATTTCAAGAAATATATAATAAATATATTTAAAGTAATTCTGAAATTAGAACAGGTATAAATTACTCCTAAGCTAAAAAAAAAATCAAAATAATAATAACAAATCTTTATTGTCAAAGAGCAATACCAATAGTACATGGCATTTCTCATGTTGAGAATGGAAACCTCATAATACAATGACAATCGTGTAGTCTCTAATTTATCAACAGCCATAATTCTACGGAAAGTTTAAGCTTGGTAATTCAAGCATATCTTTGCCCTTCTAAATGTTAAAATCAATTTTCACTTACTAGCTTTGTACTGTATGCTATTTCAAAAACCAAATGTTGGCCAAACGTTCCATTGAAGTATTTTGTTGAAAAGCTGGGTTGAATTCCAGCCGTTATTGAACCAATCATGTGACAGAGGACCTGTAAAATGTGACGCCATGCAAAAATACTGTCAAACGAACTGTGTTGTATAAATTACTTTTTAACTATCAATGATTTATTTTCTTTGTGTGTTTATACACCTTTGGAATTTTTTTTCCGTTTTTATATCTTCAGTTTATATTTTTGACAAATATGTATTATAAATGATATTTTGGTCCATGAAAAAATACAGCGGACATTTGGGCTAAAAAAAACTACTTTAAAATACTGTAAAATTGTGTTAAATATTGTAGGTGTGTATTGCATAGTGCTGTTAAAATATTAAAAACATAAAGTGTTTTTTTTTGTTTTTTTTATAAAAACGTGGTTTTATGCTATTTATTTTACTGTGTGCGTTATTAGCTGGATCAATGTGTGAATAGATATTTATTATGGTATGTTACTATATTTATACTCGCAACTAAGATATATACCAGCATAAGATTAAAATTTTCTTTTACTACACCAGTTTTTCTTAGTACAGTAATATCTGTAAAACTAATTCGAGATAGTTTGGAATTATTTAAAACTGACAACTAACTGTAATGGTTAAAGTCAAGAATGATTAAGAACAACTTATAATATTAAGTGTGTGGGATCGGGTCTTTTTAGCGAATTTCCCTATAGGGAAGTAGTTATTACCGTAGGTCTCATGGTAAGACCTAGGCGCGGGACCGATTTACTTTGTAATTTTGATGTCCCCAGAGGCCAAAAATACCATTCGTTCAAATGTTTATATATATGTACATATATAAATCTTACCTATGGTAATATATATATATATATATGTAATATATATGTATATGTAATGTATATATATAAATTATATAAGTAGAGTGATAAGGCCCAGTATAACACCCTCAGTTGGCTCGTCACAATCACATCACGTTTGTTGGGAAATCAATGAAAGCTCTTGACATAATCCTGCTCCATGTGACACACCTGAAAACACTGCATTCTCATTTGTAATAAAGACAGGGACTGAAATAATAAGCGCATTTAAATTGTTTAACACTATTTAATGTTATAGGGTTTCACACTAGAAGGCACCATTTCATTATTATTCTTCTTTTTACGTTTATGACTGATACACAGTTCACTTACCAACTTTGATATTTTTTTTCTGGTCCACTGCTATAAAGTGCAAGGTCCCGCCCAAGTTTCTCCAATACTACCCCAAGCCCGCAGATGAGGGCCACCCCAACTGCTATTTGAGGATAGTCAGTCACAAGAGCTTCTACCCCACCAAATTTCCCTTCAACGAGTCTCCCAGCAGCTAAATCTGCCCCTTTTTCTTCTGAAACCACAATACAAAGTAATGATTTGATGTCACTGATAAATTCAAGCGCTAACTATATGTTTATAGACATGAGATAAGCCCCCAAATATTTACTTTCTTGCCGTTTGCATAGTGCATGCAGAAAGTTTTGTTTCCGTACAAATTTTCGAGTTTGAGTTATGGGTGTAAATGAATTGTTTATTATAGAGACCGTATAACCAAAATTCTTTTCGATAATGACTTTTTAGTATATTAATATGAGTAAAAATTTTATATCACTCCTAGCGCAAAAAAAGAAGATGAAATATCCTGTTTTTCAACACTAATATGTTTAAATTTTGCCTCTTTTAGGTCAACTTTCAACATTATGGAGATTCTTCGAAGAGGCTGACTAGAAATTCATACAAGTGCGAAGGCTGTGTATCCGAAAACTCATCGACGAACAGCAAGATTGGTCTCGATCGCGATACGGCGACTATACTAGATGCGATAGCCACGCTACGTAAAGACACTAATGAATCTTTCATCGGGCTACGGAAGGAAAGTTCTGAAATGTGGCAGCAAACACAAAATAAATTAGATACAGTCGAATGTGATATAAATATCCTAACAGCCTACAATAAAAAGCCTCGGTGAAGTTAAACTACTATGATGAAGTGAAGAGTAAAATAACAGCTACAGACATAAATGTAGAGAAACTACAGGAAGAAAATATAGAACTACAAACCAAAATACAAGATATGCAGACTGAAATCGAAGAGATGCAGATTTAACTTAACAAAAATTAGTAGTAATAGTAATATAACTTGCAATATAAGTAACGCATTAAACACAAATTTGCATTAAATAATTATTTACAATAGTACGTAGTTATAAATGTAAATGTTTACCCTGATAAAAGGAATGTGTTAAGGATGTGTTTTTAGATAAGACTAAGATAAAATTATAATTATCGGAAATTAATGTTGGTGATTTTTCCAATCTCCTTGGCATTGGAGGATTATATGTTAATTAAATATGTTTATATGAGTGTATTCATAGCAGAACATTCCTATATGAACAATAATTAATATTTAGGTTCGTAATAAACAATAAAGGAACACGACTTGAATCTGTAAAATTAATTAGGCTGGATGGTTTCGCGATAGGGACCGGGTATGGACATGTTTAACGAGAAAGATTGTAACGAATTTCCAATTAAAAAATGTAATGTTTATAACGATATAAGTACTCTTAATTCTTGTTTTGATTTATCTCAAAGTATTTTCGGGCCAAGGCTTAGAATAGTCCATCAGAATATAAGGAGCTACAATAAAAATGTTGACGAATTTTGTGCGTTTCTCCAAGGAAAAAAAACACATTTTAATTGCATAGTTCTAACAGAGGCATGGTTAAAAACAGATTATATTTTAGAAAGTATTCCGGGTTACAATATTTTTAGTTCAAGCAACAATCTTAATCAAAGCGATGGTGTAGTTGTGTATCTGGATAACTCTTTATCTGCAACCTGTAATCAGCTGTTGATCGGCGGCGTGGCCACTGCCTTATCTCTGACCTTCGACTGGGACGGACAACCTTGTGAATTACTAGCAGCTTACAGGAGCGCTAATTCTAACCCTCAATTGTTTCTTGATGGTGTTTATAACTATTATAATTCCACTTCACATCCAGAGTATGTTCGTATTTTCTGATAATTTCCTGGACAACTATCAAAGAGGTATCAGGTAGACCACACATCCCCGCATCGTTCCCGGTGGAGGCCTTCTGTGACGGAGGCACTGCTACTCCTGACATAAAAAATATCAGCCAACAATTCAATGACTACTTTGCTAATGTAGGCTTCAACCTAGCGCTATTAATCCAGTGGGGCCGCCCGAGGTGGAGGATCATCACCATGCCTTCCATTCTGTATTTGAGCTGAAACCGATCAATCAAAAGAAACTAATAAATATAATTAATAGGATAAAAGGATGCTCTGCTCCAGAATGGGATAACATCCCTGCAAAATGTATTAAGACCTTCTCAAATTATCTTGTTCAACTCCTATTAAATCTGATAAACCTAAGTATCCGTTCAGGAGATTTTCCTGACCTTTTCAAAATTGCAAAAGTCCCTAAACTACAAATCTGGTGCCAAAGCTGAAATGAGTAATTTTAGACCAATATCTTTACTAACCACCATAGATAAAATTCTAGAAAAATGTGTAAAGATCCAATTAACTAATTATCTTGAAACAAATAAAATTTTATCTGAATCACAATCTGCATTTAAGAAAGGGAAAAATACTTCTGATATTTTATTTGACTTAACCAAATTAGTAAATGAGAAAATCAATGGAAAAAATAAAATCATGTTAACTTTCCTAGACTTAGCAAAAGCATTTGATTATATAAATAGATCTAAATTATTACAAAAACTTGAATTAATAGGGACAAAAAATAACACACTAAATTGGTTTTCTTCCTATTTCAAAAATTTTAACAATATGTTTGCATTAAGGGCATAAATTGTGACCCAACGATTGTTGACTATGGCGTGGTTCAAGGAAGTACAATTGGACCTCTTCTCTTTCTGGTATACATTAATAACATATCCAAATTAAATATAAATGGATGCTTATTTCTATTTGCTGACGACACAGCTTTGGTCTCATACGGAAGCACATGGGATGAGGTTTACAATAAGGCATCCTCTGACCTCATCAAAATAAAAAACTGGTTTGATCACAATCTACTTTCTGTCAACGTACAAAAAACTAAAAGTTTGCCAATAACTATTAGAGATAATTATGGTCCAGGACAGAGAATCCTAAAAATGCACTGTTGTGGTGATCCGTATTCCGTCAACTGTGGATGTGAAATCATTGAAAAGGTTTTAACTTATAAATATTTAGGTATAGTCATAGATCAAATATTATCATGGGTACCACACATACAGTACTTAAAACAAAAATTAAGATTAAGAAATTAAAATGATATATGCTTTTGGGTAGTTGAGCCATGTGCTCACTCCGGAGCACTGCAGGAGTGTGTACCTCGCCTATGTGCAATCTGTAATGCAATACGGGGTTCTGGCTTGGGGTGGTGCCTCCTCCGCCGTGCTGGAGCCACTGGGGGTGACACAGCGCTCTATAATAAAAACCATTCTAAAAAAGGGACAAAGATATTCTATTGATCTGCTATTCCACGATTTTCTTGTACTCAATATTAGACAACCATTTATTAAAACCCTTCTAATAAAGACAACAAACACAATATTTTCACACAGCCAACTCACACGTATATAACAAGAAACCGATTAAACTTTGGATACACAATACCCAGATTAGGTTACAGAATAGAGCTTTCTAATCCTTTTTATATTGCACATCAATTATACCGAAATATTCCAAATAATATCATTGAGGCAGAGAGTAGCAGTGCAGCCGTTTTCGGGAGAATGGTTGGAGAGTGGCTGTTACACGTCGGCCCCACGGCATCTGAAAATTTAGTTCATTCACCATCCGTTTGAATAGTAATAAAAAAAAAAACAATAAAATCTACATCTTATCCGCTAACACATGCCTATGTCAAAATTGTTTAGACCGGATTGATTTTAGTTTTTAAATTGTAAAAAAACATTTTATTTTGAGGGGTCATTACATTACATTTAATTAGCTCTAACTTAACAAGTGTTTATAACTTATATTCTGATGGTTCTATGTTGTCCAGGACTAAGATATTTGATTTCATTTTTAATTTTAATAAATTTGTTATATTGTTAACTAGAAAAGTTGTTTTATGTAAGTGTATACATTTTTTAAAAGTGACGTCAGCGAGTGCCATGGACTCTTCCTCACACACAGACGTGTAGTCTTGTGAGGAATATTTTTCCTTTCATACCATATGTCACCTTCTTTTTATTGTACATAATTGAAAAAAAACCTAAAATATTGATGATTTTTTTTTTTAAATATGCTTAAATTTCCATAAAATTGTCCCCATAACAAAATAATTTTAAAATATGTCAAAATTCCAATATTTTATTCAAATTATTCAAATCTAACCAAAACAGTTTCTTTATCTTTAAATGTTTTAATTTTAGTAATAATTAAGTTCTAATATTTTTTATTTAATTCTTTAGTTGTTTTTTCATTAAAAATACCAATAAATCTATGAGGTAAATGCATTTTAAATTTTTCTAATTCAACAATAATTTTATTATAGGTCCATATTTATCTTTAAATTTTTCAAAATTTTCAATCATAATTTTTTATTTAATTCTAAAATTTTATTGGTTTATATTCTTTGAATTTACATTCTCCAATATTATTAACCTCTTCTTGTAGATCCATTTATTATAAAAAAAACTTTTAAAAATTTTATATACTAGTTAATAATTAAAATATATATAAAAATATTTAATTAGAAAAATCACACACCAGTTTGTTAGAAATGGTGTGTGATAGATGAAAATCTTATTTATTTAATAATATCTGATGTAGCCTTTATGTTATTAGAAAAATCATTATGTTTATTTTTTGTAAATGGATCATTAATGGTTGATAAATAATTTACCAATCTTAAAAAATCAATCAAAATCTGGGTTTATATAAAAAACAAATTCTAAAAATCATTAGTAACAATTTCTTAAATGATATATTTCTTTTTGTAAAACTGAAATATGCATTAAAAATTATTGTCATTTTTTCCTTCCAGGTACATTCTGTGCCTAACCAACACCTCACCCTTCACCTAGTACCTTCTGTACTAGGATCGTCAGATTTTTTTCAATCATCTTAATTTGTTCTTTCTTTCCTAACATGTTTCCATTTAAAATTCCAGCCTGTCCTTCTGCATTTTCAAATTCACGCTTTTTCTTTCCTAATGTGTCTAAGGAATAAGTCAGCCTTAGTCACTAACAACACTACAAGATCGCGTCACTCATCCTACACTCATCTCCATTCATACTTGGCTTAAAATACCTACTTTGTATGGTCACCATTTCATTAAAATGTATAAAAGTATAAAAGTATCCTT